ATAAAACTCTCATTTTCGTTCTAAGAGTCATAAAATGGGATTCCACATTAAATTATCATAAATCATCCATTTTATGTTCAAATACTTGAGAAAAAGGGAATAAATCATCAAGGGATCAAGATTCGGGCTTGAACGAGCTTCCGGGAGGTCAAAAACAGTGTTCGGGGCCAAAACGGAGCGAAATTGGGCCAAAATCACGAAACAGCCGCGAAGCCCAACGGACCAAGGCCTCCAGGCGTCCAACTTGGACGCTTGGCCAAGTTGGACGCTTTGGCTGGATTGCAGCCCAAGAATGACACGTGGCAAAATCTGGTTGGACGGGACAGCTCAGGCGTCCAGATCTGGACGCTTGGACTTGGACGCTTTGACTTGGACGCCTTGGATTCGTTCCTATAAATACAACACGATTCTTCTCATTTTTACAATCCATTCTCAACCCAATTTCGGGTTCCCCTCTCTCAATTGCTTCAAATACTTTGTATATTAGTTTTAGTAGTTAGTTTGAAGTATTTTCAGAGGTTTTGACACCAGATCTGTTCTGTTCCACTTTTACGGAGGTTGTAAGTTTTCTTTATTTAATAAAATGCTATTTTAATTTATGTTTGCATAGTATGAGTTAGGGTCCGGATCTCTGGGTCCAGACTAGTTTGGTTTTTTATTTTTGATGTTAAATTAATGTTGGAATGCCTAATCTATTGTTCTTGCCTTATTTAGTTAATTATTCTCGAAAGATTTAATTAGCTATTTTTTGAGAAAATATTGTATGCCAAAAGGCTATGATATTCAAGTGCAACGGATTAAGTACAAATCTAGAAATAGATGAGTAGTAATAGAAATATTATTATTCCAATTGTTAATTTAACATGATAAAATAGATCCAAATGATGTCCTGACCCTAGGTCCAGATCTATACTTATACTATGTAAAACTTAATTTATTATTTTTACTCCGCTCCTTTTATAATCGTTTCTAGAAGACTTTCATAAACCAATCCTAACCTTCGCCTAGTTCGAGTAATTAAACTAATTCCCTTCGTCCACTCCTCGAGAGATACGACACTCGGAGAGAAAACTAACCCTTTACTAGGAAGGTTTACTACCCGAAAAACTACGACTGCCACTGGGTGACATGATTCTGGAATCCCGGGATCACTTACCGATGCATGGGTGAAATCTACCATCGCTGGGTAGATGGCTAGTCCAGAACCATGGCTTAGCCGACCGGCACTGAAACCCGACCGAAAAATGCAAAGTTCTCCAAAGTAAAAACTAAATATATAAAACACTTATTTAATGTATTGTGATGTCAAAAAAGGCTTTGTAAGTTGAAAACCACGTCGTTAAGGTAAAAACCACGATTGATCAAGTCAACACCGTACACGGGTGGTTTTCACCAAAAGACAAAACCGAAAGGTGGTTTTCATGATGTTTTGATTGGAGAACCATTTAAATGCATTCAAAAACAAATCCCACACAAAAAGACTCGAAAACCACTTCATTTAAGTAAAAACTGCGGCTAGCCAAGTTTATGCCGTTTCGCATGGTTTTTATCAAACGACGAAAAACGAAAGGTGGTTTTTGAAGTGTTTTTGATGGAAAACTATTTAAATGTGCCCAGAAGTAAAAACCAATGATAAAAAGTTGAAAACCACTTGGTTAGTTCGGACGCCAAAAACCAACGCCGAAAACCGAATGCCGAACGCCGGTTTCTGAAACCCGAACGCTGGATGGCTTGGTTTTTGGTTTGGGCGAACACCAAGTGTTTTTAATGTTTTAAACATGTTTGAAAAACATTTTTATGATGTGTGAAATGCAATGAAAAGAATTTTAGCCTAAAGAGCCAAGGTGTAAAGGTTGGATCGGTCTTGATCACAATTATGACCGACTCAACAACACTAAGACTTTGGTCTTCGTTCTTGGTCTCTTTTAGCTCTTGTTCTCTTGCTTTCTTCTTATATTTATTTCACGCCTTGTATATTCAACAACTTGTCTCGTTCACGGCGGTTTGGCATTATCAAAACCTGTCATAAAAACGAACACGGCTTTAGTACGAAAACACGATAAACCCGTGTTTCAACAAATATCGGAATACTAATAACTATTAGAAAATATTGCCAATAGTAATGATAAATATAATAACAACAATAATAATGAGAGGAGTTTAAAAATGAATAATAATAATAAAATAAGAAGTACTCTATACATAGTATTACGGTAAGATGAAAGAGACAAATACTCCATAATTATTTGAGATACGTACTCCGTATATAGGTTGGACGGTTCGGTCCGTGATGATCGGTTCTAAATATTTGTATCACGGTCTCATCCCATTTGGTATCGGTTCGGTTTCGGTTTATGATGAAGAAAATCAATCTCGTTTGAAAATACTATAAACGGTTCGGTACCATTACAGTCCGGTATGGTACCATGCTATTTCGGTTTTTTTGCCCACCCCTACTTGCATTCCATAATTATATCAGTTGAGCACTATGTCTATATATAGTCATTTACACATAAAAGTTAAGAAAATATAATCATTAGGTGATGCCATTACGGTGATGTCACCCCAATGATTTCATATGTTTGGAAAGTCCTAGTCTCCAAGGAAGCTAGATCTTTACTTCTCTTAATAATTTTACATATATGAATGATGGCTCACCTGGATACAGAAACAAACTGTGTATATTCCCTCCTCAATGTATTCAGGTGTAATTATAACTTCCGATATTCGTGAAACCTCAATTAAAACAGCAACTGCACTCAGAAACCAACAATCACCCAGTTGTCCCTGAAATGTTTTAGTGGCAACATTAATATGGTAACATACACACACAAATTAAACACACAAGTAATTTGTCTCCATGGAGAGGAAATTGTAGGGGAAAGTCCAAAGAAAGACTTCGGAAATAGATAAGATCACAAGTTTTATATAGCAATACAACATAATTAGTTTATTTTGTTGGCAAAACTTGGCAAACATCTGAAGAATTTGCTGCTCCAGAAAACAGGCACAGACCAGAAACATATCAAATCAATATGCAGAAGAGAGCATGTCAAGAACTAAAGATGTGGCTTCATAAATATGGGACTGGAACATGTAACGAACATGTGGCTCACGAAATTTCTCCATGATCTAAAAAAATTCCAACCATATACCTTTTACCTTTCAACATTTTTCTTAAACACCATGAAAGTTAAATTAGTTAATGTTTTTTGGGACAGAGGGGGTATTACCATTGTTATCACATCGTCAAATTAATATGCACTAAGGGCAAAACAGGGCCATGGGACTGGCATATTTTGATATTTGGTAACGATCGTTAGTGTCATACATGGAGACGTTTATTTATTAGAAACAACCAAAATGCAAAAACCAGTGTCCCTTGTGCCAACCCAACACATTAACTATAAAGTTTTTAACAAAGATGCATAGAAAGAAGAGAAACTAAAGTGCATAAAGAGAGACAGAGCGACGGAGCATAGCAAAGCCTAGTTTTGCCATTGTTGACCCTCCACAGCTGCCAGACATAACCACCATTGTGAGACATCGCCACAACTACGGCCATACACCACTACAAATGTTTAGAAGTATATTTTCTTTCTTTCCTTTTTTGAATTCTGTTTTACTTCTTTCCTTTTCCTATTCTACTGCATGTTTAATATTTTTTCAAGTTGCTAATGCATATTGAAGTTTTGATAGTTGCTGCCGCATGTTTGGAATTTTTCCGCCAACTGTGTTTCCTTTGCCTTCTTTTACTGCCAGCTGCCTTTTCTTTCAGTTTTCTTTAACATTGCATATTTAATATTTTGCTCGCTGCCAGTTGCTAGTTTTAATGCTAATATATTACTGGAGTATTTTAGTTTTCTTCTCCTGCCTATTTTATATTTCTCTGCTACTCAATAGTCGCTACTGCCATTTCATTCGTATCATGTTACTGTTCTTAGTAATTAAACACGATTATTACACTTATTGTTTCATTTCAGAAAAAATAGATGCTTGGTTTGTTATCTACCGATCTATTTTGTGTTGATTTTAGATATATGCATTGGGTGTATGAGGCTTGGTGTTATTTAATAATCCCTCCATCTCATAAGAACTGTATGTTCACTCTTCACAAGACCAAACCATATCTTCTTTCCATATTCCCTACCTATTTTCATTAATCATTTGTTACAATAACATGGTCAATTCACATCTTGTTTTATTATTTAATTTAAACCAATATTTACATAAATTGAATTTAAAATAACTACACTCAAGTATCGTAACCCAAAACTAGACTACTATTATGGGACACAATACGTGGATATTCGAATTTTTGAAATACAAGAATACGATATGGAGTACTCAGAAAGCTAGGGATCACAAAACACCGTCATTTCCAGAGCCGATTCCAGCTGAAAGCTAGACTCTTCAAGAAAATCTAGAAACCCTGAAATTCAAGATTGCAGATAGGGTTTCCATGTGAAGAAGACAGTGTCCCCGTGAGTTTAGGGAGAGGATTTCAAAACCCTACTGGGTGCTTTTTGGAAAGAGAGAGAAAGAGTAATCAAATTAGAATCTTTTCAAACTGAATAGCACTGTCCAAGATTATGGAATAAGAACATCGAATTAAGTCAACAGTACATTCAGCCTTCAATCCTATATATATATTTAAAAAAACAGAAAAGAAATTGTCTAAAAATGAAATTTCCCCTGAGTTCTTCTACTTATTTAAGAAAGTAAGGCCCCGGCAGATGTTGAGAAATATACAAAAAACAATATAAAACCAAATGTACTATATAAATCATGAGTAAAGCTCTATAAATATTCAAGCAGACCAAAACAAGGGTTACCTGCTTCCTTCCTAGCTAGGGATCACAAAACACTATCATTTCCAGAGCCGATTCCAACTGAAAGCTAGACTCTTTAAGAAAATCCAGAACCTGAAATTCAAGATTGCAGATAGGGTTTCCAGGTGAAGAAGACAATGTCCCCGTGAGTTTAGGGAGAGGATTTCAAAACCCTACTGGGTGCTTTTTTGGAAAGAGAGAGAAAGAGTAATCAAATTAGAATATTTTCAAAGTGAAAAGCACTGTCCAAAATTTTTGAGTAAGAACATCAAATTAAGTCAATAATACATTCAATGCCCAATCACATATATATTTCAAAAACAGAAAATAAATTGGCTAAAAATGAAATTTCCCCTGAGCTCGTATACTTATTTAGGAAAGTGAGGCCCCGGAAGAGATGTTGAGAAATATACAAAAAAAATATAAAACCAAATGTACTATATAAATCAAGAGTAAAGCTCTATAAATATTCAAGCAGACCAAAACAAGGGTTACCCGCTTCTTTCCTAGCTAGGGATCGTCATTTCCAGAGCCGATTCAAGCTGAAAGCTAGACTCCTCGAGAAAATCCAGAAACCCTAAAATTCAAGATTGCAAATAGGGTTTCCAGGTGAAGAAGACAGTGTCCCCGTGAGTTTAGGGAGAGGATTTCAAAACCCTACTTGGTGCTTTTTGGAAAGAGAGTGTAACGCCCCAAAATATACCCTAGAATTATTAATAAATAAATAATCAATTAATCAAAATTTTTATGATTAAAAATAAATGTTTGTTGGGCTTTGGGCCAAAATGAAATATGTTTAAATATTCAATATCACAATCTAGATAAATCTTATAGAGATAAATCCAATATGTTGACTTATTGTGTGATCTTGATTGGGAACCTGAGTACAGACCGAAATTAAGAATAAATGAAGAAATTGATTGTAATGTGAACTTTGAAATGATTTATTGAAATAAATCATGAAAATAAGTTGTATGGATTAAATATGAGAACCTTTTATGATAAAAGTCAAATTAAACCAATTTTGACTCTGTTAAACTCAAACACCCAAAAATATGATGTCGGAAAAAGTATAGCGAATAAATGTAAAAGTTATATCATTAGATAGAGTTTAATTGTACGATCGCAACGGTGCAAACGGATTTCAATTCGAAGAAAGCTGGACCAAAAAGTATACCCGACTGGGACCAAATTAGTCCCAATCAGAGAGTAACGTGCTGAGTCTCCTTAAGTCCCACTATCGCCGAAAGAAGAACGTGAATTTCCTACGCAGCATCTACTCAGACTTTGTTTCCTTCTTCTTCATCTACTCAGTTAAACTCTCATTTCTTCACCATTCATCTTCAAACTTCTTCCTAAGTGTTCCTAAGAGTGTAAGGAGGGTAGTGGTGCTGTCAATTTGGTGTGAAGCCGCTGGAGCTTGCCACAAACCTCGCCGGAAGTTTCGCCGGAAAATCGTCAAAACCTCCCTTTCGCTTCAAGGTAAGCCCGTTGATATATCTAATGACTAGAATGTTCGTATAGATCGTTTCTACGTTCATAAACGGTCGTTTGGTTGAGTTTTGTGTTTGACATGCTTGAAGAATCAAGAATCATTAATCATGAATTTGATGTTAAAACTATGAATTAATAATACCAAAATGATCCATGAACCTTGTAGAACATTTCTATATAGTTTAATGGAAGTTCGGAAACTAAAAATGGGATTTTCGAAATTGGTGTCGCGAGGTAGAAGACGATGAACAAGGGCTGAAAAGCCACTGTCTGGATCGATCCTCTCACTTGGATCGATCCTCTGGGAGTATTTTTCCATAGTATGGATCGATCCAGAGGGCTGGATCGATCCCCCGAAAATCTGATCCGAAAATTTGTCTGAAAATGCTATTTTTGAACTCTAAAATCCTATTTTTGATACCAATTGATTATGGTCATTATAAAAATGATTTACCATAATAAAAATGATGTTTTTGACAAATAAAATGTTATGTGATGCATGACGGTAAGTTCGGGTGTTAACACTCGAAGCTAGGCCGCTATTTACTATCGAATGTTATGTTGATTGATGATTATGATGAATGATTGTTATGATGATTATGGCTTGAGGAAACCACTGATTAAATGATTATTAAGGATTAAATTATGAATTGAAATGAATATGTTGATGATTATGAAATGATTTGGATTGTAAGGATATCTAGAAGAACTCTAAGATATACCTAGGATGACTTTGGTTTCTAAGACTATCTAGAAGACCTCTAATATAGCTTAGAAATAGGCCTTGCGGGTATAATCATGAGTATTCGGTGGCCTGGGTTAAAACGTACGTACGGGATCTACAAACCAAACTTGAGGCACTCGTTTGGGGATACCACCCAACCCGACAGTGAGCATTTCGGATTCGCTGTTCGGTTTTTGGATGACCTTAATCAAAGGTAAGTTTAAGATTTTGAAAACCTCTTTTGAAAATTTATATCTTAAACTAGGCCTAGCTTAAGGGTTAGATAAGAGTACCTTAAACTTGAATATAGTTTAACTATCTTAAACTAGAATTCGTTTAAGAGTTGGAAAATATCAAATAGATTGGCCTTAGACTAAGAATAATTTAAGGATATTGTTGAATGACGAATGATGAATAATATTATATGATGAATATACATATTGAATGATTGAATAATGAATTGATTATTGATGATTGAATATATGAACTGGACATTTTGTTAGAATAAAAGACCAACGCTAGAGGGGGGGTGAATAGCGTTTGATCGTAGAAATCGCAGGATTTAAAAATTAAAAGAGAAGTAAAGAGAAGAGTAAGAGGCACACCGAATTTTACCCTGGTTCACCACAACTTGTGGCTAATCCAGCCTCCCGAGAGACTCTCTCGAGCTACACTACTATCTCGTTAAGCTTGCGGGTGCTTAACAAACCGTTACAACTTGAGAATTCGAGTCACACGAACCTCAACGAATCCTTCAAAGGAAACAGCCCTTCCTTTGAATCTACCGAGAGAAATACTTTCTCTCAAAGTGTCTAAGAACACGAATACACTCAAGAACGAGACTCTCTTATAGAGTAGATTATGAGTAAACTAAGTACGCTCAAGAACAACTCAACCTTCACACAAAATGGCTCTAGAAAGCTATGGAAAATCATGATATTTGTTGGGAAAAATATTATAGATTTTGATGATGATGTATTTAGAATGTATTAGGGACTTTAGGTCTCCCCAAATATTCAATGTAATTTTTGTTTTTAGAAATACTGTCAAAACCGAGCACTTGAGATTTCCAATAAAAGCTATGATATATCTTTAAGCGTTTTGATGCCTGAAGACTTAATCAAATTCAGTGATATGGAAATCGGATATCTTGTTCGGAAATGTCAGAGACAAATAAGGATTTTCTCAAGCAAACGAAAATCCTCTGATCCGGAAGACTACATAAGAACCGGATGTCTCGCTACAACCCGCTGAAGTCTAAGTCATCCAAATCGGAAGACTAGCGCGGATCTCCTTCTCACCCGGAAGTCTAAAAATGACTCATCCGGATTTGTCAGCTAAGAATCGGAAGACTCACTGAAGACCGGAATTCTCAGAAAGCGGACAAGTGAGAAAAGACTTAGAAAAATTATCTAAGTCCTGAATGAAGAAATTCTACTCGTTGGTAAGGAAAAATCAATCTCTTGATTTTCAACGGCTATATTGAAGATAATTATGCTGATTCAAGAACAAATGACTCGAAGACAAAGTCTGGCCCTCTAAATTGAAGAGCCTGTCCAGAATTCCTAAACAAGCACAAGAAGACAAACAGAGTAAAGTGCTACAGTTCAGAATTCTTGAACAACAGCTAGAAGACGGATTCTGAGAAAAATGGAATCACTTCTCAAACAATTGGGTATGTCCAAACACCCACTTCAACGAAGAATCTTCAAATCACAATCTTCATTCAAAATTGAAGCCAGCAAATGCAACAGATAGTCTATTATGATTCAACGGATAGATTATCCAATCCAGCTATAAATAGCATCCTTGGAAGACTGGAGAAGATATGAATGATAACGAGATACGTTGATACAACAACACAACAAAGAAAACTTCCAAGCTATCTCATTCACAGTTAGCACAAAAAGCTTGATAAAGAGAGATTTCTAAACTCCTTATCCAGAAGCAAACTCCTCCTCCTTCCAAAGAGCTATAGTGCAAACACTTGAAGGTTTCCTTGCCTCAAGTACCACACCACGTTGAAGGATACAACTTTTTGATCAAACTTCTTGATTAAAAAGGGGGTAGGTCAACTTTCTTACAAGTTGATCTTGCAAGTCCTATTGTTCGGATCTTGCAGTTGTTGAAGAAGCGTGACCTTCGAAGGAACAACAAAGCCAGCACGAGTGCAGTAGCAACATTGGTCTTGCGAAGATATACCGTGCAGAAATTCACACAAGTGTAATT